GGCCATGCAGAGTACCACCTGATTATAAATCTATGGGAAATCAACCAATAGCAATGTTTTATCTACACCTGCCTGTAGACCCCATACAGAGTATAGCCTAAGTATAGGCTTCAGCAATAATATATGTGCCATTGTATTCAATGAGTAATGACAGTTTTATAATTCATTACATATTAAAAGATTTAAGATGTTTTATTGTCATCGGCAAAACAAGAAACTGTCAGATACACTGTCCTCGGATATGCAAGAATAATAGTCATAAAAAATAATCACAAAAAAATACAAGAAAGTATAATACATACTCTAAGTATTGAAACATTAAATATTTGGAGTATGTTATACTTTCTTTTCTGAGATTTATCAGTGGACCTTTCAGTTTTTATAAAAAATACAAATTATCACCTGTTTAATGTTGTTTTTTGGTATCTTTGATTATTTGTAATTTTATTCAAGTTATATCTTCAGAAGGAATGTGCATTGAGTTCTTGTTAAATATGCCACATCATGTCATGTGTGTGGAATGTAACAATTTTAGCAGCAACTGATATTTAAAATAAACTTTAATCAAATTGCATTCATATTACAAAATTAAAGCCTTCTAAAATTTAGGAACATTTAAGCATTGGGAAACATAAACAACCTTCAAAATTAATGTATTTTATAAACATTAAAATTATTGTTTGCATACAAATTTTAGACGATCTAAACATATAATATAATTTATTCTAAACCTTAAGGGATTTTTAATTGTAAATGTATTCTGACCATTTCTGCTTTACAATGACACTATGCATTACGGGCATACTTAACTTTAATATTTCCCATATATTGTCTGCATTTGTATACCATATGTAGTTAACCTTAAATACTGCAACCTTTCATTTTAATATATTAATTGTAAATTTAAATTTTGGGATTTACCACCATCCACCTAGTTTTGAGAACAGTGTTAACCTAATTTTCCTACTTGTGCCTTTTCCCCCTAAATCATTGATCTGTGCCTGTTGATTAATACATCAGTACATCAATATATACCTAGCGTTATACAATTCTGTCTTCGCAATCTATCATGTCAAATACAATGTATTGTTCACCATCTAAATCCCTTTTGTTCAAGTGTCCAATTGTCAAAGTTTAAATAGCAGGGATCGAGATCACAATGATGATAGATGTACTTTATCTCATAGTCATTATTGCGTAAACTTCACTTCAACAGCAAAATTCTTGTTAAAAACTTTAAACTGCTCATCCTTATGTGGATTATCCAACTCATCTCTTGATAAATAAAGCCTGAGAAAGAGGAAACAAAATACTTATTAGGTATGTAATGTAAACATGTAAATCAAATGGTTTTTGTTAGAACTAAGCAGACGATACAATATATAATCAATTTCTAATTAAAACAATGAAAATAAAATGTTACCTGTTATCTTGAATAAAAGCTGTATGAAACCAGAAGAAGAAAGCACAGTGGTCATAGGCCTTGGGTACCTTCTATCAACAAATTAAAAGAAAATGTTTATTAATTATCCTCACATTAAGATGCCTGTACTCACCACCCGTTCTTTTTATAAAGCAAGTTAACATGTGGGCACCAACAAATTTAATGTCTTTGCCTTCCTTACAAAAAAGAGCAGAA